CTGCTTGGTTGGTTTAAATAGCCGCACCTCTTAAAGCTGATCAGAATGTATCTAGTAACTCGAATTGTTTGAAATTTCAGAAATGTTGCAAGTTTTATATAGTAGAACTCATTAAAGGGAATGTTCCTTTTCTTTTTTTTTTTTCTCCAGAAAAACGGAGTAGTCCATGTACATTTGCTGCCTGTGTGCGATGTTATTAGTAACGGGCAGGGACAAGGTAAAGTGGACAACGCAATTAGGAAATTCCAACAAAAGTCCCGTGGCAATGTCTAGAAGTGTGGCCCAGGATCACAAAATGATATTCACACATCAATTTTCTGTTGAGGCAAAAAGGACAATCTGCGCTGCGGCGTTGAATAGTTTTGACGTCGTCACTATATGTTACTTTGATACCTGTTTGTTAACCTTGAGGAGGGTGCCTTAAATCCTGTAGCTAGCACCGATCATGTGGTCGCAAAGGGGTTCAAAACCGGTATTTGTGGAAAAACGCCAAAAAGCTTTTAGGATACCCATTTATGCCACCAGTGTAGTGGGCCTAAACCTAGCGCCAACAACATAGGGGTGCCAATATGCATCATTAACGGGTTGCGTGCGCGTTGGCAGGTCGCCTTAAGCGTAGAAAAAATTGCACGGCGTAGTTGGTGCCGTTGTCGTCTCGGCGGTTTCTTGGTATTCTTCTTTTGCCCCCTATTGTGTTTTGATGTTAGTCCTTCCGCAAGGTCGGTATTTCTTCATCGATCACATCGATCGATGCTCTCTCTTCGGTAACAACACTAGCAGCATCAGTAGCAAACATGAGTGTTGACTATCATCGGATCGTGCACCTTCGTATACGACACCCACCCATTTATGGTTATCTATTCGGACTGAGAACAAACGAATAGAAGCAAAGGCAGCAAAAACCAGGACAAAGATCTACGTTCGCTTTTGGTATCTGTGCAGAAAACTACCGGAAAACGAGGAAAAGTAAGAGAGCTTAAGTGAGATCAGCAATAATCATGCATAGATGGACAAAATAAACAATATGGAAATGGACGCGGTATTTCAATATACTATACGTTATCTCACATTACAACCTACTATTCATTTACGTTATTATAGCAGATTATAAATCGAACCAATCTGAAACTCCGTGGCAGCTCTAAAGCTCAATACTGCGTCGGTCAGAGATTGACTATATATTAGCCAGCAGCCATGGATTTTATGCCACAACTGAGTCCGCATTAATAGCTATTTGCTACTCATTTATTTGGTTTATACTGCGTATAAAATAGTATGATGTTAGTAAATAGCCGAGAGCTATGTCCTACTGCAATACAGACTAGACCCCACATTTTGATAAGTTTTTTTTTATGAGTGCTCTTTATTCGCTCGATATCTAACGGGGTCATGACTCGGCGCCAAGGGTACGAAAAAAATACATTTTCGACACTCAAGTAAATCCAAATGGTTTACAATGTGCAGCGGCGTGAATTCTTTTAAGTCTGTGGCTGTTAGTTATATTAAAGAACCTTGGCGTCTTTTGTCCTATTGTAAAATTCCCATAGGTTCCTACTAGCACTCGCCGTTGACTGGCATTTGCTTACACTTGTCAACATCTTGGAGTGGGAGTTGAATTGATAAAATTATCGTTTATTCTATAAAATGCTTAAGGTACCTATGTAAATAGAAATCAACTAGCTCTGTAAGTGATCATAGGCATTAGAAGCTCATATTTTTTCCTATTAGACGAACGTTCAAATTTATTTACTTTTAAACTATCGATGTCATAAATAAGTGCTGCCATCGGCATAGTCATCTCATCTGGAGTATACAGCAGAAGAGTTTGTGACAACAGTAGGTTTCTTACACTGGTTCTACACACTGGTTACATCTGTGTTGGCCTTAAGCGCGTATCATCTTCAACGGTGGGAGTTTCTTATGCGAGACTAGCTCCTTTGAGGAAGCGGGAACAGGTAACTGCGGTTTGGGTTCAAAAAAACTAACGATCGTGCCCATTTATGTCTAAGCGTCGACTTGCATCTTTGTGAGTAAAAGGTGCTTGTCTGCAGAGACCGCGAGCAGTCGCCTATGACACTAAAGGATCGTCAAATCAATATTGATACGTATGTATTACATATATAAAGTAAATACATGTACATGTCTGGTTTATATATTGCCGACTTGGAACCTATTTCGAAAGGCGTAAAAGGGGCTTTAGGCTCCAAAGGAAGCTTACCATGCGCAAAATTTAAACCAATGACAATCATAGATCATGATAGACAATAAATAAATTGTTTTGGTATAGTCGAGTTGTCTTCGAAAGAGACTGTGCACATTGTTGTCCTTTTACACATTTCTTGAGAGCTGTCTTTAGGTTATTTGGGCCTTGTTTCACACTGTTTAGCAAACGTTATGGAAATTAGGAGTCGACGAGTGACGATCTCTGACCTAGCTTGCTCAACACTAACTGAGTATGGAAAACAATCTTCTTTATCCGATGTAAAAACTTTTCTCAGAAGTCAAACATTTCGTTTATAACTCTATTATACACTTACTATTACATACTGCCTGCTTTATACAGAATCATTAAAGGCCGATATATCTCCGCTTCAGGCCCATATAAAACCACCTTGTCGAGCAAATAGGACAAACATGTGAGTGATTTTCACAGACATTTTCTCGAACGTTAGAGCATCGTTGCAGGCTCTGTTCTAAAGTTCAGGACGGAGTTCTTGGCAGTTCTTTCATAGAAACGGGTATTCTCGTCGGTCGCATCAAGTGTCGGCCCATATAACCCCATAACCTTTTATATATTCAGAAAATAATAACTAAATATAATAAAAAATAAACTATCCGAGCGACGCGGGTGGGTTCATCTGCTAGCTTTTTTCTTTGTTCGAACACCACGTACTTCGAAAAAACGAATTGGTGAACCTAAAAGTTAGCTTTCGTCTTTCACTTAATAATTTGATTGTGACCATTATGGTTTATTGGTTAATTTCCGAGATAAGCGATCTACGGTATCAAATTGTCAGTCAAGAAGTTACATTTCCCTGACGTGATTTGATGCCAAGCTGTTACGTCGAAGGCCTCTCTTGTTGTTAAACGTACTCCAAAACAACCGGTACCAAGTAACAGCCGTTCGCCTGCTACGACCTTAAACTAACCTGCGACGTGCCTTCGTCCTCTGGTAATACTTACCAAATTTGTCAACAAGTCGGTACGATTATGCAACTGGATAGCATGCAGGAGATCATTTCTGGTAAAATTTTGAGGGCCCCATTCATATTCTGTCATCTTCGATCAGTGAGGAACGACTCTGAACGTAAAGTATCTAATAGCTTTTGAGCCTGATATTATGTCGGAAACCGATTGAGCCATCTCATGCAGTATTTCGTAGTTAATAGCGGCCTCATAGTACCGTGTTTTCATTTAGTGTACTGCAAACTAGCAAGTCCAAAAATTAGCACATCGTCGGAGTCATAGCGTGTTTGTTGAGCTTTTTGAAGAGCTCGAGGCTCGCAGATAAAGATTTTGGTGGACAATATTATTGTTCCGCGACGACTTGAGAAGGTCGACATTTAACTGGAAACGATAGAGGCCGCGAGTTGAAAACCCGGTCATGACGAATGCTACACGACAGGGGGGTGACTAACTAAAGAATCACGCATGTTTGATATTATCAGATGGTCAATTTATACAGTGTATTATTATTCGGGTGTTCTTTAGTTAATTCCGTCTAGAAGTGGAAATGTAGCTATTAATACATAATTATTACAAATAGTATTTGCTAATCATTAAAAAATAGGCCAGTATCTATCTTTGTTGACGCGTACTGAACAAGGTACGGTACCTAAATTGGTACAGACCTTGGCCTGCTGTTCGCGATAACGGGCCTGTGTTTATATGTTACTCCCGATATCGGGCGAAGGCCAATCTAAAGGTCAATCGCTGCTGTGCAGAAGTGTACTGCTGACGATACTTCGCTTTCAGTAAATTTCTTGATAAAATTAAAAAAAAATGGATATCATAGATTATTCATGAAAACTTTAGCTAAGTGCCGTATGGCGTAAAAATCCAATTATCTCTGTGGGCAATAAAAATCAGGAGATTTGACCTGTGTTGTCTACTACTTAATTTTCTCGTGAAGAACAAAGCAACAGGTCGTATCTGATCTTCTTCTGACTAGAATTTCTTCTCGATGTAAAAGTGAACCCAGAAAATATGGCTTTTCTGGATACAAGAAAATTTTAGACCAACATCATGGTCGAAGTGTAATTTACAGTGAAGTCAACCCACCACTTCGAAATTGGAAATAGGCAAATTCGGTTAAGTTTGAAAAATGGCCCACTGTTCTTTACGACGACGAGTTTATTCTTTTGTTGTACATCAACTGTTGTTTACCCCGTGAAAGCTGAGATATTTGAAGGAAGATCTTACGTCTTCCTTCCGAAAGAATGGTGCAGAAAATGGCTTATCCAAACCAATCAGGACAGTATTGGCTGTCTGAAAATATAAACAAATGGGTGCTCTCGGATAAGTACGTAGAGTCTCCGAACAGCTCCCATTGAAAGTAGTTCGATTACGCGAGCTAAATTCCACGAAGCTTTAACGTAGAAACGCTCACTCGTGCTGTCAGCAAGGAGCATTCACTGAAGAACAACGAGAACATTCGAAACGAGTTTGTGCTCGAGTGAGGGCCTCAATTTAAGCTGTAATCATCTACATTGGATAAATATAATAGTCAGGACTAACAACTCTAGCATAGATTTTGTCGAAATATTGATTTTAATTTAAACGCCATTTTACGGCCAAAACGTTAAGAAAAATTAAATTTACGCATCGCATCCGACAAGTTCGCAAATTAAAAGCCAGGACACTCTGGTTTTAAACCGTGGACGCTACCACCTATTCCAGCCGCCGACCCTATATATATATATATGTCACTAGAAAACACATGTTATCCAAAATTTCACAGGGACTCAGTTAATGGGAATAATGAAATAGAAAATAATTACCCTCTGGCACCATTCGAGGAACTCATCGAACGATACGAGACCATCATGATCGGCATCGATTAACTGAAATGTAAACGGCAATAAAGAATTTAAATGTCGATCGAGTAGAACACACAAACAAGAAGACATCAAGCGTATCATTCTAGTATCACCGTTCTCTCACCGCGATTGACTACATTATTGACTTCGGCAGCAGGGCTCGTTATCCTAGTTTGCAGGATCATGAGGACTGCCTACACCGACTAGGCCTTCGCCCAAATGCAACCTATTCTCCTATAGGAACATTGACGCTCTACGTACGTTGAATATCTTGTCAACGTGCTCTCTGGCCGTGTGCTCGTTCACCTGCGGCTGCGTCCAGTGGCCGAGCATGTCATAGATGGCCGACACGACACGCAGCATCTCTGCACGAGAAATGAAGCCGTCCCCGTTAAGGTCATACAGCCCGAAGATCCATTGCACCTTCTCTGTGACACTTCCTCGAGAAAGCGATGACAACACCTACCGAGTTAATATCCATTAACGTCTAGCAGCGCTGGTCATATTATCAATATGATACACATAATAATGTGTAAATATAGTTAGATAAAAGTACCAATCCGTTATTAGCTGGTTGTGTCTAGCCCAATGTGCAGTATTTTCAACCAGTGATAGTGCTTGCTGTTTTTTTTTTTAAATACTCGGCGAAGAGTTTAATCGACTGCGGCGATTCCTTCGCGCTATAAATTTGGCGGATCAGTCGGCAGATCGACACTTATTAACAAAAGTGGCGTATTAGAGCTTTCATTTAATTGACCCTCTAAATCACAAGTTAACCTATGGGAAAGCTGTTATCGACATTACTCTTGTCGCTTTTGGCGATTTTTGGCCCACGTAATCTCTCAACATCTGTATCAGCACATCTCAAATGAATAATGCACCACTGCAGGGCAACAGGCAAAAAGACAAAACTAGAAATATATGTACACGCGCAATGGTGTGTTTAGCGGTATTATGGCTCCATTGTGATTCAGACTATTCAGATTTACATACTCTGTTCTAGAGGTTAGCCATGCGGTACTAAACATAAAATATAATCCTGATCGATAATTTCAGCTTCTATATTAAGTGCTCATTTGATCGTTACAAGTCTTTTTTGTAGTTCTATTTATTTGTTTGGGCACCTTGTTTTGGATTATTAGTCAGCAATCCAACAGGAACAGGAAGATTGAACCTCACTTTCGTGATACTGTTCTAATCAGCGACAAAACAAGTCCCGCTAAACGCTATGGCAGAAATTCGTTCTGAAAACTGATATTCCGACAGGTTTCGTTAACAGAGATAGTATTGAATATGTGTACATTGGTGGTGATGAAGGCAGTGCACATTTAAAACTTCTTGTTCTTCATTCCGCCTGCCCTTTACCCTTTGATCACAGCTTCAGCAATAGCTCAGTAATCTATCTACATAGTGTAACAAGCTTAATATCGTACGCTGCTTCAAGCGCGATAGAAACGCCGTCCTAAGAGCATTTCTTCCATCCCAACTAACTGAGTAAAGGTAAAAGAAGGATTATCATGTGGCAAGCACTGATACGCCATGTGAGACAAATAAACAGCATTTGAATAGCTACTATTGCTTTTTATTTTTGCCTTGTTACCAAAGTAGCTGTTAAACAAATAATCACATATATACCTGATTTTTTTAAATATGATTTTGATAAACAAAGAAAGTTCGTGTAAACCAGCGACAAACCAAGGTCAGTTTTCGCTTTAGTGCCGGCGATAAAGTGCCTGACGAGATGTCCGTTGACCGTTTTGGCGAGGAGAAACCCAGAGGGCCGATCGGAGACTTCGTCCGCTGACAAGATGACATCAAGGGTGCAACGACAGTTGCGTGACGTGGTTTAATTTGGGTGTGTGGGAAATGATTATACGATCATGAAATCCTCAGAAGAGCACTGATTCACTCGAGCGCTTATTTTGTCGAAGCAGAAAGAATGAGGAGATGTTACAACGATGTGTGCTTAAAGGGCATTGTTGGAGTTCAACGTTTTTGGTTAATATTTGACTGCGAGCAGTGGGACATCATTTCTTCCTCTAGTTGATTTCGGATGCCTATGATTATGCCGAACTCCTGCCGAAAACGCATCTAGAAACGGTATTATCAAAGAATTTGGACAGAGCTGCTACAGCTATCACGCCGAGGTAAACAAATTGTCAAGCTTCAATAGTGTTGGCATTGTAAGGAAAGAAGGTGACGCTGCGGGCACTTGCCCTCTAAAAACAATTTATATTTTAATGCACCGATAAAGGCGCATTAACTAGTAAGACGGGGAAGAATTTATAAAGCACACTACGGTACTACATAAATCGGCGAAGACCTAAGTTGTATTAGCCTGTCATCACTCGGGTCTACACAAAACCGTACGTCGATCGATAATATGCCGTTTTCCGGATAGGGAACCATGGGCTAAAAGCTCGCACTCAGCTGCAATATGTGTGGGATTAAGGTCAGAAGCTATTAGGGATTTGCAGGTATACCGCTTAAAGAAACTGAGCATAGTTTTTGTTGGTCACGCAAACAGTTGGGCTTAGTACAAATGTTGTCACGATAGATAAGTCTGGTTATATGGCTCTTTTATTGCGAAGTCAGTGTAGCGCCAAATCTTCAAACTCTGTTCCCAATCAGTTGACTTTCGAAATAATCGAATCTTATTTGATACGTACCCTAAAAGATAGGAGGGGGTCCAGACAAGGTAAGGCCACTGGGGATTAGGAGGTCTAGTTAAATAAGCGTGGTGAAGCGAATTGTAACGAAATAAATGATACTATCTGGGTTAAAAAATTAAACACGGTCAGTGCTCAGGCTACTTTCTATCAGCCAATGTCGATGCCAACTTGGTGCACTTCAATGTTAAATTCTGGGACTTTAAGCGCTGACAAGCACGTTTCTCTTGAACGTCCTCCCGGCAACGAGAGATTTCTGCTTTATTATGAAGGTCTAAAAACGTTGAAGTTAGACTCGAAGCGGTACCTTGAGAAACCCAGATTGCCAGTAATGCAGCCTTTTACTTTATTGTGAACTTCTTATTGTAGTTGTCCAGTCATGTGCTTTGCGTTTTGGTGTATAGCGACTATTTCTCTAGTAACCTAGTGGCAGCGTCCCCTGTGCTTTCAAGCAAGCAAGTTCATAGCCTAAATACTAAACAAAATTTGATCTTTGCCCTTATTCCCAAGACGCACCTTCTTCTGCCCGCGGCACTAAAGTGGCCCTCTGATTTTTTATCATGGAGAACAGGCCTCCTTCTCAAAATGCGTTTCGACATATCACTGCCATATATATATACAGAGAAGCACGAATAGGCTAATGGTAGAAAAAGAGGAAAATCAGAACTCAGTAAAAAGTAGATTTTCTATATTAACTTAATTTTTTTCCTATTCGTAAGTTTGTGTTCCCTAAAAGTATATGGAAGTGTTTCCTCATTACGAACTTATTTTGCACGGACATCTCCTTTCGGACATGTTGTAACTCTCACCTGAAGAAACTGCTCGAATGTTAAGCATCCATTGTGACCATACTGCTTCATTGTGTTGAATACGTAATGGGCATACTGGGAAGCATCTAAACACATAAACAATTGCAAGTCCAATGTAAACGGGGAACTGATTAGTTGCGTAAGAATAATTAAATTTACTCAGCCTCTCAGAATGCAACTTACTAAGCTATTTTAAAGTATCAATATGAGCTTCTCTGTCAAGGCACAATGATTTTCCGCCACTTAAACTTATAGCACTAAAAACTTCACTCTTTACCACTCTACAAAAGATATTATCAATTCGAAATAATCTGTGCAAAGATGACATTCAGTATTTAGTAGACCTATAAAGTTTCTATGGTTATACTACATTATTGATTTTTAATTATCGGTTCCGTGTTCCACTACCGTTTCCTCCCTTGCGTCCCGCTAACGGCACATACGTGTCATGCTACATAAGCTTTGTGAGTATTGTCCTTTTTTTTGCCATACATGTTTAGTGGTTTACCTCCTTGTGGAAAGAACTGGGCAAAGATGAGTTTGAACGCGTCTTCGTCGACCAATCCTGTGGGGCATTCCTGTAACATGGTAAAACGCATACCTAGTTCTAGCTGATGCTGTCGGATCGACACAACTTTAGCTATGAATTGTAGGTCATAAGTTGCACTTGTTTACATTGATTGTCCAATTGTAGCTACACAGTACGTTTCAAATACAACTTTTAGTTGTATTTGAATGTCTCCCAGAAACGTGCAAATGGGCTGAATTAATTATGCAACACGTGAATAATTCGGTCTGAATCTCTATGTGGCCTGATAGTGTTATTATTATAGGCTAAGTTGTGCCTTACCCTACTCAGTGCGATTTTAGGCAATTTTGTCCTCTTCGAGTATTTCAAAGGAAGGATATGTGTTAGCTAATAGAAATCGCCTTTATTTAAGCGCGCTATATTTGAATACGCCTGAATTACGCCTAATATAGGAAAAAAAGACAAAAAAAAAAAACAGGAATCACTTCCGCGCAAAAGATAGGCTACCATTTAAATGTACACAGAAACGTTTAACTAGTATTGGCTCATATCTACAAAATGTCTTTGACTCATTTAAACGACTATTAGTCTAGTCTAAAATCTACATGAAAGAAAGCTTCCCATGGAAACTATATATCTATGACTGTCCCGATTGACGCCATTAACACTGCTACAATCGTATGGTCGCAGACACATAATATGGCACTGACTTTCTGAGACCTGGGAATCATTGAATGATCTTAACCACCGACCTGCTTAAATCCCTGATAGATGAGCCGTATCTCATCGCGGTCGAATTTGGTATTTTTGCAGAGTTCGTCAAGCCGCTCTGGTTTGTAGCGCGGGCCAAACGTTTCCTCCTCCACCTCGGCCTCTGTAAGCGATAAAACAACAAAAAAATAATCATCAGTCGAGTGTTACTTTAGTTTTTTCTAGCAGTCAGATAATAGCTTAATGGGTATCGTATTTGCCTGGCAATCTTAAAGACATATTACGGTTTAGATCCAAATCGGGACAGGAACACACATTGTTTCGTATTGGCAGGAGTCAGCTATTTGATGGAAGATCTAACGTTGATGCTGGACGGAGAACTCTAAACACAGAAGGACAGCCCCATTCCCTGACATGGCTGTTGTTGCAGTTATCTAGTTAGTATTTGAATCGTCCGGTGAAATGTATCTACACTGGGTTCGTCTCATCATAAATAATCGTCTAATTAACAAAAGCAACACTTATTAGACAACACCACTTGCTGAAGATGATTGCCTCCACCAGTTGTTGCCATAGGTAAATTCTTTACTATAACACCTTGAGTTATATTTTTCTATTGATTTAGAATCAAAAATTGCAAAGGAGTTCTTAGGCAAAAAATATGGATGATTCAGAAACACATTATGTTACTCCTAAAATAGTCGTCTGCACGATCCCATACACTAGATGGTATATCTAATAGTTGCATATAGAAAAGCTGCATATGAGGACAGATTTCAAGAGGATTGCTTGTGTAGCTAAATGACAGTGCAGGCTGAAATGTATTGTGTGTGTGCTCATTCTAGAAAAATGCCTGTTGTTTTTTTCTGATAAGAAGCCTGTGCCCACCAGACTTCACGTATCGATTACCAATAAACCGGCATCACACTCATTGCAATGATAAATCTTTAAGGAGCAGTTTACCTTCCGCTTACCTCTGTCTGCTTGTCGCGCATCATGGGCCAACTACTTGAAGGTCACTATTGAGAAATACATTAAGCGACCACGCTAAACCAGTCTCGAAATCGTCAGTTAATTATGATCCCCCATCGTGGTTCATTTCTCCTCTTTTTTCTCCTGCGTTTTTACATTCATCTTGCCGTTACAGATTTCTATCGCCTTTTAACCGTCCTTTTCTTGCTTCTGCAGTCTCTGTGTTTTAGAGCTTTGTACTTTCAACGTTATGTGAACAAACATCTGATTTTGGCGACCGTCTCACTGCAGATGCATTAACTTGGTAATCTAAAAAAAAGGAAAAATGAGGCCAGGGGATGGACCTATTGCGCAATTTACAAAATGTGCATATATATAGATGGTAAAGACGCGATTATGTGCCGAAAGAGGTGTGAAGAAAACGTTTTCAAGTAACTTTGTTTACATCTAGGGTGCTTTTGACTTCGCACGATCCAAGTTAGTCCGAAACAATCTTACCGTAACATACAACCTTCCCTGATTGCTTTTTTACCGAGCATTAATAAATGTGGTGAAATCAATCCTTCAGCTTTCTTTTAAAGCCGGGGAATTTCCATCAGTGTCTAAGATATTACGTTCAACAGATCAAACAAGCAGATGAAAATAAAATGTATTGCGGATTATATACACTTTTACGTGGCATTGTCTATGCCTATCTGTGTTCGAAGCAGTGTTCATTTCATATGGCGTCAGGATTCATCTGGGTCCCAGCGATGGCGAAGCTGTGAAGCAATCGTCTTGTTATTGAACCTCTTTGGTATCCGTTCCTTAAAATTGGCATAAACGGAAGCGGGTCATTCGACTCGAGCCAGTTTCACGACCTCAATGATAGAATCTTTTGGATTATAATTAAGTAAGTCTACTAAAAGAGAATACTCTAATAATCATAAATAGATTAGGTGGGAAGTTCTGCGGTTGGACTTCTGAATAATAAACGGTAGATGGAAAAAAACTTGCATGTGATGAACTGGTGGCAAAGCTAACTTCCTTTTCTTACATAATTATGTTTTCTAACTGAAACTATGCCCTGCGAAAAATGACACAGGTTTATTACAGATAGAACGAGTGGCTGCAATTTACAACGAGGGTCTGGACTACAACGTACTTCTGTAAGGACCTTTCTTCGCGCCTGCAGAACGTATCGCGCTTAAGCTCACGTTAAAGTGGTTTTAGGTGATAATCTATCGTAGACAATAGCGATTATTTTTTCATCGCCGTGTAGTATCTTTTTGCGTCAGTGACGTCATGAGGCAGAATTTCGAAATAATTGTATATGGACGCATTTTACGTAAGATCGTGCGTATCGCATCGTGTCTAAAAAAATTCATTTGCTGTCATGGCGTCTTCTCGTTTGGTGTCACTTATAAAAGCCGATAGGCCATTACCGAGCGCAGTGTACTCGCAGTTGTTATGAAACGTAACATATCTAAAAGGGCACTCTGTTGTAATGTTATTAGAAATGTTTATTTTCATAGCAGCTGCTGCTGCTGCTGCTCCTCGCTTATTTTAGAACAGCGCCTGAGCTTCTTATCTCTAACAATGACAAGAAACAGTATTAGGTCTCAGATAATTTCAGCTTATTTATCATTGATGTTCTACCTTACATATTATTACAGTTCATGTTAATTTTCAGCTTTAGGCTGTTGACAAATGGCGAGATGGAATCTCCGAAATAAGAGAGTCAGTCGCCAGGAGAATGAGAAAGATTGATAGGTTATTTGAAGTAACGCCCCAGGGCGCCAGATGCTTCAATGACAGCCACTCAATCAACATGCAACAGTGTCATAACGCCGCGGCAGCGTGATTTTTCCGTACGAAAAAGCGCACGGGAAATGCTACTGGTTTTGTAATTGAATTCCAGTAATTGTGCTGTCATTCCTCTGCACAGGCCTCCTTTATCGTAACTGGCTCGAAGACGGTTCGCTTTGGAATCGAATTATGATCGTAGGTTTCTACCACATGCTCGCTTTTCGAAATACTACAGAACGCTCTGTTGTAACGTGTATTATTCTTCAGTAGTATATCAGTATCAGTCCTTCGATTCTATGGGAGAACCAAGTTTTTTTAGGTTGGAAGCTGCGATCACAGTTATCAAATACGAATCGCCGGTCAAGGATAGTCTTGCATATTTTCTACGTAGATAATACTAGTGGTGTATTATTTACAGCTATAAGAGGACGCCTATAAACTGATCTAGCTAGAAAACCTGCGTGCCAGAATAATATTGTAAAAAAATAATTAGTAATAGGTAATTATACTTTTTGTTGAAACAGTGACGAACAGATCGAAGATCGAGGGTGGATCTTTCTAGGCAAATTTGTTAATTAAACGAGCTAGTCATATTGAGAACGATACCAAAAGTGAGAAAGACATACTGTTATGCATGTGGGGCAACTAAGAGTTCTTTTAGTATGTTTGTTTTTTTTTTGGTGTACCGCTTTATTCATTTAGAAATTATGGCAGTATGTACGGAAGAAATTTCATGGTTATCTCGCGACAAGTTTTACAGGGGCACAAAATGCGTTGAACGAGCTTTTTTGTACCGCAAAAGAAGTCAAGCCGTATGCTCATACCGTTCATATAGATCGCATGTCAAGAATCAATGACTTCGTTATCAATTAAGGCAAACCTAAATTGTAAAGTTAGTATGTAATCGGCAATCTAATAATCTCGTCTTTTTTTTCCGTAACCCGTAATATTAGCGCACCGTCAACCTTTACTTTTCATCCTAACTAGCCATATCCGTGTTAGTATTATCTGATAAAGGAGTTCCTCGATTTATATATGGCCGTTGTGACGGGCGCAATTTTTCCAGTCAAATATGGCCTATATGACTCTAGACATTGTATGTTTGAGCCGACCTTAAAGCTGATTCTAATATTACCCTAACTTATAGATTATTCCAGTCAATTGTCGTTTTCAAAGTGTCTATCTCCGCTAAATCTGGCGGCGCCATTGCCCTAAGTAAACAACTTATTTTGGCTCGGTAGAGACCAACCTAAGCATGCTGGACTTTCGATATATTATTGCTGACGAACATATCGAGATGGTGCTTCAAACATGCATGTATTGCTTGAAATATGAAAAGCAGACGACTATACGACTCACTAGGATTTATTTACTAAAGAGAGCAACGATCATTGCAAAAACTTGTCTATGAAAAGCATAATAGGTGCAAAACCATTGTTTAATTATAGATTGATTATATATTATAGATTTATAGAGAATTATAGATTATAGATAAAATTATTATACATCGAGCATGATGAAAGAGCACGATATTTAAAAACTTTCAAGCTAGACAACTTACCTAGATAACCACATAGAGCATAACCTTAAATGATAGAAAAAAATTAACGTGTATAACCTAGATTGACGACGTCATAACGTTTCGAAATGATTCTGCGAATGAATGGAAAATGGCAGAGACTAACTGATCGGTTCAAAGGGAAGTTTGAGTGCAGAATTGATTCGGTGTGTGCTCGTGGCTAGTATAATACAAGTATAACAATGGTCGCAGGCCAAAACCCTGTTCATTAAAAATGTTATAAACTCTACTGTTAATCGAAGTATATTTGCTTACTTGCTATTTTCTCATATCAATATTTGTTGACATAACTATCAACCAAAAACAACGGTCATCTAATCCTGTGCGCTATTTTAGTTCCGTTTCCGCGAGTCGTTCGTATTCCTTAGGACTTTATGCGTGGTCGTATCGCGCCTTTGCGTCGCATTGTGCGTAAATGCTTTACAAATGTGTTAACTCGCATTGGCGCGTTTAAGCTTAGGTGAAGCTGTCGATTTGCAAGGAAACGAAGGGACAAGAGAATTATTACATCCTTCCTGAAGACGGCAGCTTCCTTTTTCAATTATGCAGACAAATTTTCAGCCCTCGAAAAAATGAGCGCACCCTAACACACCCGTCGGGGCACACTTATGGCCCAATCTTCTGCGTTGTTAATCCGACACACAGCTTTGGGCCAGGAGGAAACTAGCCGCGTTAAAGCGGTCGGCGGCAGGCCTGGCCAAGTGGTCCAGCGATAAAGGGAAAAACAGGCGGCATAGAAGGGCGCGGAGTTATGAGCACACCACTGGCAAGTAAGGGACATTTTCGATACGGCCGGTTTGCCGAGATATATTCGGCTTCAACGA